CGTCAAAATTGGACGCAAAGGGACCTTTGAAAAACGTCAATATGTGACGACTCGGGAGTGAGAATGTGTTGGAATGTTCACTTATTGTGTCACTTTTCACTTCACGCAGTCATGATATTAACAAGTAATGAGAAATACCTTGGTAAAGGTTTTCTCATAACCTTGTGTATGAGAGATGTGGGAAAAGCTTAATTCACCTTAAGCTCACCTCCTACACACTCCATCAATCCAGATTAACTGGCTTTTGTTCTGCTGGCAGAACAGTCACTTCCTAGTGTTAAATTTAAAATGTGTTTATGTGTATTTAGGTGTTTTGTTTTTTTTGGTAAATCAATATTAGACAAAAAAAATTGCTACCAAAGGTTAGAGAACAATATTTGATGTGCAAAATTTGATGCATGTTTTATACCAGTTTTTCCAAAACTACAAGAGAACAATACAAAAATCTTGACGGAAACAAAATAACAGCAAACTAGTGAAAAGAGTGCCTCAGTTATCACTATGAAGTGAGAATCACCTCTGTTGTTTATTTAACAATTAGATATTTATAAAAAGGCTGATTTAGGCAACTCACCTGGTCATATTCAGAGGACGAAACAAGAAAGAGGATTGAAGTGACGGAGTCAAAGCATTCRAACCAGCGCCGTCTCTCTGAGCGCTGGCCACCAACGTCCACCATCTTGAAGGGCACATTTTTGATCTCAAAGTCGTACTCATGGATCCCCTTTGTGGGTTTTCGAGCCAGAAGAATGTCCTGCTGGCTGGGAAGGTAATCCTGCAAGCAGATTATCATATTTCAGTTTTCTGTAATTTCTGACAAATTCAAATATCTTGTTTATGAACAATACCATATATTTAGGTTCCTCGAAGAATTGTTGACCTAACTTGTCAAACCGGATAGTTTTAAAATAGCCATCCTGTGAACTGATTTAGGAATTAGGAAAATTTATTTAATCAATGTATTTATCTTGTAACTAAAATAAGACGATGTTTACATCATGAGTTACAACAGGTGTTTATCCAATCAAATGAACGCAGCCGATCAAGATGAAACTATAGAGGGGAGAAGTTCATGGCCATTATACTAAAACTGCACTGGTTGGGACAGACAAACAAAATAGTATGAATAATAAACAGCTTTAGGAGCATTTTGTAAATAATTGGGTTAATCTGCAACAGGTCAGTCAGAGGACTTGGTATAAAAAAACATTTTTTAGAAGCTGAATCTACCAAAATTAAAGATAAGCAGGGGTTTATCAGTTTATGGAAAATTAAATTCAAAAACTGGAATTATTTCAAAATAATGTTCTGCAAGAGAAAATTTATACATCTCATCTAAATTTTGTAGTACCATTAAAAGATTTCTGTAGAAATCTCTGTTCTCAAAGAACAAGGCTGAAAGTGGCAACTGGATGGCTGTGATCTTCTAGACCCCCAAGGACCGCTGCGTTGAAAACAGGTCTGATTCTGTTATGGACATCACTGCATGTGCTCAGGAACACTTCCACAAATCATTTTCTATAGAAACAGTTTGCCACATCTTCCACAAATGCTAGTTAAAGGTCTAACATAGTGGTTCCCAACCCTGGTCCTCAAATATCCCTTTCCAGCATGTTTTACTTGTTTCCCTGCTGTTCAGCAGGTCTTCAGAAGATTGTTAATCACTCATTCATTCAAACCAGGCGTGTCAAATCAGGGAAACATCTATACATGCAGGAAAGGAGTCCTTGAGGACCAGGGTTGAGAATCACTGCTTTAATACATGTTATCTGATTTATTATTTACAAATAAAGAATCAATGGCTTCCAGAGGCAATACTAAAAACCATAAAACTGAGTCAATATTGTATTTTGAAAATGTCTCATCGAGCTCAGAGAAGCTCTTGAGGTGTTGGTCAACATTTAAAGCAGTGATTTTTAGATGTGTTTAGATTTCTTTGTATGTATGATCACTTGGGTTGTTACCGACATCTGGTGAAAATTTCATGTCATTAGCACCTCTAGTAATATATTTACTGAGAAAAATGGTGACGTGTTCAATACTTATTTTACCCGCTGTAGCTGAGGGGCTGAACATCCAGCAATTAAAGTCATTATATAAATTAACCAAAGATCTGTAACCTTTGAAATAGTTTATTTTGCTGCATTTATCATGGATATAACATACAGAACCCTATGTAATACATTTAGTGATAATAAAACAATAACAAAAACAAAAATAACGCATCATACCTCCTATTTAACACAAATATTTTGACATCTCTGACTTGCCAACTTTTTTAACCAATTTTATTTTTACTTTCATAGTTTTATCTTCAACTGCTTGTGGTTTTAACTGTCTTGAGTGTGCTTAGAAATAGTTTTTACCAGCTTGTAGCCAAGATTCTGACGTTTCTATAGATACCAAACGTCTATGTTTAACTAAAAGAACTCATAGTAATTAAAGTAGAAAACTGGTGGTCTGGGCTTAAGAGATGAATGAACCAATTGGCGGGCCGCATTTTGGTCACTCGCAGGGGCCACCAGTTGAATAGCCCTGATATAAAACATGCAGGATAGTGGTCCTTGAGGACAAGGATTGAGAACCACTGTAATATATGAAAGTTAAAATTTTATTGATAGTACTACTCTTATCAATATTGCTCATCAATCTGGTATCTTAACCGTCTTCTTATTGATGTTTTTCTATGGGAATTAAACCAAAGACCCATTATGTAATCATAGTGGGTCTTTGCAATGCTTTTATTTTAGAAAAATATACAACATACAATAAAGCCACTTATTTTTTACTTGAACACGCAATTTTAATTTGCATTGCATTAACTGCATGGCAGGTTTTTATCATTACATGCAAAATGGAGGTAGAAGATGTCAGATTTCTTATGACAGTATAAACCAGGGTTATTCAACTGGCAGCCTTTGCATATGTCCCCTTTAAAAGGCAAATAGTAAAACTGTTCTGTGGTCAAATAAATCTAAATTTTGAATTTTGTTTTGGAAATTACAACGCCATGTCGTAAAGAAAATAGGGACCATCCAGCCTATTATAAGCACACAGTTTAAAAGCTTGCCTCTCCCATCATATGTGCGTGCTTTGGTGCTAATGGCTTGGGCAGTTTACACATCTGGACACACACAGACACACACTTGTGCATCCAAACCCAGCAGTAAAAATTAAAGCTGAAGCGAAACTGGACCCTGCAACATGACAATGACCTAAAATATACCAGTAACTCCACCAAGGGCTGGCTGAAATCTAAGAAGTGGAGAGTTCTGGAATGGCCAAGTCAAAGTCCAGATCTTAATCCCATTAAGATGCTGTGGAGTGACTTAACMCAGGCTGTACATGCAAGAAAACCCTCAAACTTCTTAGCTTCACATTCAGTGGTTTATAGTTACACATAGCTATCAGAAACCACATCTTATTTGTTTCTTTACAGCTCTTTCACTATTTGTTAATATTCCCAGATTACGGTAAAGTTTAAGAGAAATTTTGAACTTGCGTCTTAGGCCACATGTTTGTAAAATCACAAAGTTGGATTTTATGTTTTCATTGCCGTTTTCAGTAATAATGTTTTTATAGAAATTACTTGTATTATTTAATACAAAGAAATAGCTATGTGGTAGAAAGTGAGCACACAGTCAAACCGGTGTGAAGTCCTGGCCAAGAACAGGAAGACACACTTTCACTTCTCTTTTCAACAAACCAGTTGAGTGTTACCTCACCCATCCAGCAGCCATCCTGCCTGTTGGGGGAGGAACTTACCGACTGTCCGAGCTTTCCCAAATTGTCCAGGAAATACTTGACTGACTCTCCCTGAGGACAGACAGAAAAGAGAGATATTTAACCTCAAATGTTTTTTATAATCCTGAAATAAAAGCACAGTGTCGGGTAAAAGTATTTGACTCCTTTGGATGTTTAATGCTTTTATAGTTGTCATAAATCAATTACGATCAATATTAATTGGCCTTTTCACAAAATGTAAACATAATTGCCTTTAATATCAATGTGTCTTTAAATTTCTGCAGAGAAATACCTGAATAACATTTTTTGCAGGTTACAAAGACTACAAGACATACTGTATAAAGCAGACTTCTTTATCCCTTAGCCATTAAACTCCAGGGTACTACACTTTCCCCAACAGACCAAAAACCTTTACAGTAGGTTGTCTTCAGGCCCAGGCCTCCCTTGCAAAAGAGAGATTCAATCTCAATGCGATTTGCCTGGATAAATAACAGTAAATAAAAATTTGCGTCCATCTAACATATGTAAATGGAGGTGTGTCAGATGTGTCTCACGTGCACTCAGTTCCAAGTTGATTGTGACATACAAAAGAAATGTGCTTGGATTCCAGCATACACAGTTTGATACATCTGGATTTGTACAGTGTTTTCTTAATTTGACCGTATGCCATGTTTAAGTAAGAAATCCATGCAAGTCTTTGTATAGGAGACCTCTGGTGAATTACTGGAATATAAATAGACAGTAATGTTGGGCGGTATTGATCATTTTAATACTTCATCTATTTTGTAACCTTTACAAAATACAGAGGTATGCAATATTATACTTTTAGCCAGTCGGTGTGACTCCAAGTTTGTAGGTATTTCCTTGCCTGCAACAAGCTCGCAGGTCTACAGGGGTGGAATCACAAAAGGTTTAAATCTGAAAAGAGTTTTGCTATTTGTTTGACTTAAAAAAAAACCTGTAGCTGTGTGGTCCTGAAGCCGTTTGTCAGCATTACACTGGCCTACCACGGTATACCAAAATACCATCATACTGCCCGAGCCTAATGGACAGGAAACGAACAAACTCAATTTGAGCCTATTTTACAGTAGAATCTTTGGGCATCATGGCCCCCTGAGCTCTCATCAATTCCTGCTTTTAACTAGTTGCTTCACCCCTAATTTACACTACATGCGTTCTGGCTCTGCTTAGCTCCGCTCCGACCTCCGCAGCAAATACGCACTCATTATAATCAATGAGAGTGTTTACACTGGCTGCGCACGACGGCGGTGAGCGGACAGCGATCCAGCAAAATTAGATCCGATCCTATTTCTGCCGGACACCAGAGCTGCTCCGTATTCAATTTTTAAAGATTACATCGCACCAACAGGAAGAGGAACAAGCACAACATCCACATTTACAAAATAAGACACCATAATTTTGTCGAAATTGCAACTATATTAATAAATATACAGACATATTTCTACACAAATGCTGTCAGAATGTTTCGTTCTGTTTGGGAAGCAGACGACAACATGTAGCATGAAGTATATGTGCACACACACAATACAAGTGGATTCTATTTTGAAATCAGAAGTTTCAAAAAGACGACAGTAATATAGTTTCAACCACAGATGTCAAAAGCTGTTATATCAAAGTTTTCAGCTGTGTTTGGAGCACAGAATTCATTATTTTTTGCTCTGACTTCCACATTTATCACTGGATTTATCGCGTAATCTCCTTCCTGCACACCCTCCCTCCTCTGTCTGTCGGACCGGAGTGGAGCTGAGCGGAGCGGAGGCTTTAAAAATTGGGTTGCAAACAAACAGCTGTGAACTGTGCACCGCAGTGCAGCGGAGCGGAGTCGCATGTAGTGTAAATCCGGGGTTACTGCTTGCCTATTCTTTTACTGTACATTCACAACAGCAGCTACTAAACTGTACAATTGCCAGAAGTGATTTGACAAGAACAACAAAAATGACTTAAGTGATGGTAACACTTAATTTGAAGGGGGTAACATAAAGGTGTCAGTGTTTTTCTTACCATTACATAAGGAGGATGTCTGCTGCTTCAGCATTGGATTTTAGAGAGACAACCATCGTGTATTGAAAAAAAATCTGTTTTGAAGAGGAATATCTGACTCAAAGCATCAAGCTAAAGAATCAAGTTAATAAAGCATGCCTGGCAACTAATAATGTTCGTAAATGTACTTTACACTATCATCAATGCATGTTCCCATACAATGAGATTTGTGCTCAGCATGTGACCCATCCCACGTGAGACACACCCTAGAATAGAATAAAACAAAACAATAGAATAGAACAAAAGTAGCCAGCAATATTTGCCTTGTAATATCTATATTTAAATGTTTTGCCGACTACTGGCATGCGGGCAAGAGTCACAACTTAAAACCCGTCTAATCCGGTGCAGGCAGTATGATTTTGATTAGCTGCCCTCTGGCTGCTCGCTCCTCCACACAGTGGTTTGTTTAAGGGTCGTCAATAAATTACCAAGCAAAAAACACCTCAGAAAAATCTATAACTTTTAGGTCATGTGATCCAAACACAAAACCTACGTAGAATTGTGCTATTAAACAGGACAGATGATGCACATCTAAATTTAAGGCATTTTCTCATTTTTGATCATTTCTTTTGTGCAAAACTGTTGATTTTTCTTCAATAACTTTAAACGTCATATGACCCAAGTGTCCCGTTTAAAAAGCTGATGAAGTCAAGCACCAGTTCTTGAGTTATTTCTTAAACTCTTAATGTTTTAACATTTTCGTATTATAATATTTACCCTGAAGTTTTCATGCATTTGGTTCTGGGATTATTTTTACTAGAGATTTAAATATTCTGAACTGAGACAATTATCTTTTTACTTTGCCACAAGCTATTAGTTGTAGAAAAACAAGATACCAAAAACAATTAATCGGTAAATTGTTAAATAATACGCAGGTTTTCTCACAAATAATAACTCAACACTAACACACAGTAAAAAATTCTCACAAACTGTCCTCAAAATTGCTGATTTTAGACTTTTCAAACACCCTCCCAGYCTCCTTACAAATACCAGGAAAATGCATTACTGATGTTCTAAATTTCTCTTTTTTTTCCTGGGGGAAGACTTCCAGATCCCCCATTATGGCTGTTTGTGTGGGGGATTCTTGAGCCCCCCACCCCCACCCGTCACAGAAGACAAATGTCTTGAGTACTGAATGATGCCAACAGTAATACGCTTCTTTTTTGTCAGCAGTGATCACAGTATTAACCTAACACAAGCTCTTTTTATTGCTTCATGTTCAATGATTTTTTTTTTTATGTTCAGTAAATTGACCTTTACCATCAGGGTTTGCTGAAGTATTCTCAAGGGGAATCTTCTAAAGCTCAAGCAAGAGTGTGATCAATGATTTTGTGACAAATGACCAGGCCTTTTAAAAGAATACATATTTTTGGCTTTAGTGTCATTAATCTCAAGCTGTGTTGAAACACCATTCCCTACTCACCAACTGGAACTCCCTCCGGCGATCATAGGCATTCTGGATGCCCTGGTCAGCCCACAGTGCCCTAATGGAAGGTAGGTAGTGCTGAAAAATTTTGGTTTCAACCATGCCATGACCATGGGCCATTGCTGATCGAGTATCAAAGGCCATCAATTTGTCTCCATGCTTCTGGTTGATCGGGTCGCCCCATGGGATGTGCAGTTTTTCTCTAGCATCCACCAACACTCGAATACCTACAGGGAGAAACAGAAACACATGTCATAATTCAGAAGTATTAAAGGTTTTTGAGTTTTCAATAGGACAACATGACCCATCCCGATCTGTTCTGATTGTGTAAAACTTCGACTGTGGTTCTCTTTAACTCTCTGAGGTCCACGCCCACTCTGGAGTGGGCGAACACGTGATGCGTTTAAATGTCCTGTTATAAATATGACAGCATACTGAACATTCATTTCAACTAGAATTGAAAGCACAGACTTCAAACTCAATAAAAAAAAAAGTGTTTTTTTATTGATATTGTTTTTATTTGCTTCCAAATAAAACGACATTTATGATAAATAAACTTAGTCACCATTTTGTGCACGTTTTTACGCATTGCTGCACATTCAGTGAATGTTTTGTGAATACAAAGTGACTGGGATTTTTTTAAATCCACCACATTTCCAGCAGCCAATCAAAAATGTTTCTCACAAAAAACTTGAGGAAAGCAAGCAGGAGCTGCCCGGGAGGAGAAAGTTTTGGAGAGACGAAAGGACGGAGCGTAATGGACACTTTGGATAACGGATTTAGCTAGTACTGTTTTTTGTTTGCTTGTATACTGTATATCAGTATTGATATCGGTATCGGCCGATATTGGTCGTTTTTTTAGAATATCGGTATCGGTCCGAAATGTAAAACTGGGCCAATATTAACATCCGATATTGACTTCCCACTTTTTATCTTTGTGTTTCTGTTTTGGGAGTGAAGATAGTTGGTTGAGCAGCATCTGTTTAGGGCTGCCACGATTAATCGATTAATTGATGACTAATCGATTACTAAAATAATCGATGACTAATTTAATAATCGATTAATCGTTTTCCCTTTTTTTGTTCTTTACTTTGTTTTTCTCTCCAAACTGCTTTGACACCTTCCACTGCCACATCTGCCTTTCTGTCCTTGACACACATGCACAGTAGTGGTAACTGGGGTAGGCTGTGGATGTCACAAGACATTATACAGACAGGCTCTGGTATCATGGCTACCTGACAACAGAGCTCAAAAGTGTGGGATCATTTTAAGAAAATGAAAGAGAAACCTGTGCAATGTGATATCTGCAAGGCAGAACTTGCCTTCCACAGCAATTATTTTAGTTAGCATATAGCTAAAATCTAACGATGGTTATATAATAGCAGCTGCATTCTGGCGCGATAAGCTCTATGTTTTATATTCAATTAACCTATGATCCGATTAGTCGATTAATTGAAAAAATAATAGGTGATTAATCGATTATAAAAATTATCGTTTGTGGCAGCCCTACATCTGTTTGATCACAACAGTGATATTGACGCTGCACAGCCAGGAATAACCAAAGTAGGGAGCCATGTCAGAGGTCTGGTTGTTTATTTACGGTATCAAAAAAAGGCCCAAGTGTGTTTGTGCATATATGTATAATATAATTTGTGTGTTTGTGTAACATCGGTAAATATCGGTTATCGGCCATAACAGCAATAATTTTATCGGATATCGATATCGGCTGAATTTTTCWAATCGGTGCATCCCTATTTAATACAAAGATATATTTTAGAGACAAAGTCTCAGGTGGCTCAGGAGTGAAGTGATGCAGGAGAGGTCTGCTGCTTTACTCCTGGCTTAATGAAAGCTCCGCCCTGCTCTGCTCTGATTGGATAAAACGGCTCTGGGGTTTGTCTGATTTGTTGAAAGTAGTGCCTGTTTAATACTGATCAGGATTAAATGGACCCACAGCCCCTCCTCAAACAACTAGTCACACCAGCGTGGCTGGAATTATTTTTAGCACCAGTGGAAATCAGGTTGTATTTGCAACCAAACTGGTCAAACTCTAAAGCCACAGAAGACAAGAAAAAAAAACTCTCTCTGTCTGTCTTTCACACCTTGCAGCCACTGCACAGACCCACCCCCAGGAGCATTAACTCTTTAGGATTAGAATGTGGTGAATAAATTATTTTCAATGATTGAGAGGAAATTTTTCTAAAAGTTGTATTTTTTTCTAGAAGAGTTAAGAGTTCTTCTGAAGTGCTACAAAGAACAATTTTTAGAAACAGAGCAAGATTTGAGGATTTTACTGATAATAGTTTCTATAAAACATGTTACAGAAGTAATAAGAAACAGGTTTATTTTGAATAAATATACAAACGTATTCATTCATTCCTACAAAACTGTCAAAATATTTACAAAATTCACTGGATTTCGCATAATACAGAGATTCAGATTATCATAAAATAAATAATGTTTTATAATTAAATATTTATTTCCTGACACCAAAAAACCCTCCATTCATTCTGTCCTCCTTGTTCCTAATCAGCATGGGCGTGGAGGCTGGAGCCTGTCTCAGTCTTTGGGTGAAGACAGGGGACACCTGGACACGTCTCAAGTCCATCAGGGACACAGACAAAGAGACAAACAACCATCACACTCCCAGTCACACCTATCACACAGTTAGACAGAGGCTACGTTCACACTGCAGGTCTTAATGCTCAGTTACAATTTTTTGAAAAAGTCCGATCTTTTTGTGTGAACGTTCACATTACATTTTAAATGTGACCTGCATCAGACTCCTGTGTGAACGCTACACAGCACTGATGTGACACGCATGCGCAGTAAAAGACGTGACGTCTCATCAGCCGGCTTGTTTGTTTACAGAGCTAGCATGGATACTACTTTTAGCGCGTCAAATCAGATGTTGTTGTTTAATCTCAGAGCCGATTAAATA